AACCAGAGTCAACCATAGTTAAAGTAGGTTTGAGGTTGAGTTAGGAGGACCAGGGCAAGCAGCAAGGGTCTGAGCTCCAGCATCAGCTTCCAGGCAAACAGGAGAAGCTTGAAGACAGGCTTTTCCCAGCTCTGTTTCACCACCCAAACACCTGTGTACCCTCAGGGCTGGCCTCCAGCACAGGAGGCCCAAATCACTGGAGAGGGGCTGACGGGAGGACACTCAAACAACCTTGTCCAACAAGATTAATTGGCTATTGGAAATTAGAAATCAAGATCAGGTGGTTTAGTTCATCTAATGATAATCCTAAGCCATCGTTATGCTAGCAAAACCCCTCGCTTTGGATTCTTCCAGTTAGTAAGTACTGAGAGAAATAAACACTATCGAGTCTGGAGGTTGCTGCTCTCAGTTGAAGTTCTGAAGCATTCTATACCTATCTTCATTTCCTTTAGGAGAATTTCTTAATTTAAAAACCTTTATTTTCATGGATATTGCATCTGAGCGCTCCATAGAACAAAATGGTTACAAACCACAAAAAAACCCGATGAATGCTTCTTTGTTAGCACCTAGCAGGCTCCTGTGGTTCTGGAGGAAAGCATTCGTAATGTGAAGCACTGTAGAAAAAGAATTTGTTCGTATCATGCCCCCTGTCGTACGCTTTTCCAGCACCTTGCAGTTTTGACGAATTCAGTAACGGAATTTAACTGAACAATGCACCCGAATGCAAGGCTATGGCACCCTCTTGTGTTCAAAAATAATATAACAGTTCATTTTCTTTTGAATCTAGGTTTCAGTGTGTCGTTATTCTGGAGAAACCTGTTGAAAACAAACTCGTCTATTAATTTATGATTAACAATTTTTGTATTACTCTAATTGTCTGATTAAGCTATCTGTATTTGATTGTGAAGATCACAGATATAACATTAAATGGCTAAAAAATTAATTCCAGAGAGACCTGAATAAAGGAGCATTCTTAAGTGGTGCTCAGGGACATGGTTTAGTGGTGGATCTGGCATCACAAGGTTAACACCTAGACTCGATGATATTAAATGTCTTTTCCAACCTAAGCGATTCTGTGATTCTATGAATACCTGATATACATAAGCTCCGTTCTTTAATGATGTAGCACATCACAAGAAGTCTTATATTAAAGTACAAGAAATGGAAAGTCAAGAAGTAAAAACACAAACACAAACTCACCAATGAGCGAGATTAGTAGCCAAAGGAAAAAACATTACTCTATCATCAGGGAAATAGGCTGACTTTATCCTAATCAGATTCCCAGCTAACAAACACCCTGTGACTTGATGAGGTGCCCAAGGTTATCATGCTTCTTAGATTCTTAATTATGAATGGAGACACTTAAGTTCCTGGGTATGAAGTGTGACTTCATCATTAGAGTGACTTCATTAGTATTTAGAATACACTGACATATATCAAGCATGCCCTCACAGAGGATACACACAGTTTGAAGTTAAAAGGCTGGTTCATTGTTTACAGCTGTATTAATTTCTCATACTTGGCCACTCCTAAGCCACATTATTACTTCTGGAAAAAAGGAAACATGCTTACAAGTGAATTCCTAAACGAGCCTACAACAAAGGTCAGGAAAAAGGAGAGGAGAGGAAGTAGGACAAAAGCTGATGACTTTCTTCACTTGGTGAGATTAACACAGCTGCTACTGAGGCAGAAAAACAAAGAGATGTATGAATGATACCCTGGTCTGCTTTACATTCCACTTCTACATACAAAAATCTTTATGCAAGTGCTCAATTAGACACATAGATACAACAACTCCAGATAGTTCTCTGTTTAACCCTCAAATCCAGCTCTGTACACCTAGCTTAACCATCCTGTTGTTCACCACTTTCCAAAAGAAACATCTGTCTGGGGTCATCTAAAATTTCAAATGTAAAGAGATGGATGATCTAAAATTTCTTCAGTAAAATGCAGTATTTTAAGATGAATTGTTACCCAAAAAAGCCCTTCCATTCAATTAAAAAAGACTGAGGAATTGCTACTAATGGAAACATCAAATCCAACACAACAACTAGAAACAAAGAAAGCTTTATTCAGTACCAAACCCTTGAATGAAAATGATTTTTTTAAAGATGTTCTAATGGTTTTCGCTGGGATAGAGTTAGTTTTTTTCATACTGGCTTGTTTAGGGCCATGTTTTGAATCTGTGATGAAAACACTGTTGATAACACACTAGGGGTGCATGAGGAGTTGGGAGGGGACGCAGTGTGGACATCCGACCCCACCTAACCAAAGGAACATCCCAAACCACAGGACATCATGCTCAGAAAAAAAAAAAAAAAGAAGGCAGCTGGTGGAAGAAGAAGGAAGGGGAGGGACACGTTCAGAGCAATGATGTTCGCCTTCCCACGTCACCATTAATGTATGACAGAGCTCTGCTCTCCTGGGGATGGCTGAACACCTGCCTGCCAATGATAATCATTTAGAAATGCAGAAGCCCTAGTTTTGAAATAATCAAATAAGGCCTCCTCATATTTAATTTCACCAATTCCTCTATTGTCATTTCACGATCCATATTATGTTCCAGAAAAGAAAGTGAAATATGAAGATGCTTATTTCATCTAAGGAGGGAGAGCCAGGTGTAATAGGGGTAAATTCACCATTTATTCTAGCAAGCACAAAAGACTCCAGAGCAGCAATAAAACAGGAACTCTAAAGAGAGGGTGCTTGTGTGAAAGAAAGTACAAGGGAGAGAAATATTCTTGAACACACAATAAATAAAACTCAACACCACTTGTCAAAAAAATATTTTAATTTTAACAAAAGCCCAGCATCACCAGTCATTAGAAGTTAAAGAAGTTAAAGAGTGACATGTAATGCATTCAGGTGGCCCCATGGTAAGGCTTAAGTCCATACCAAAGGCTCATTTGAGTTGCTACAATTGTTACACTTCATACAAAAATATTTTCCTATTTCACATTTAATCTTGGTGTTATCTATTCAATATAAATTGTTTCTATATTGCAAGTATTTTTTGATACTAAACTAATTTTCGAATAGGAGAACAGAATGGGTTTGATACAGTAAAAAGTGCCTTTTTTCCCCTTGCAGAGAAGGAAAACTTAGTAAGTTACGTCAAAAATACTTCCTCAAATCACTCCACTCTTTGAGAAAAGTAGTGATATAACAACAACATTAAGATGTAGAAATTATTTGATATAACAAATTCCACTGTTCTACATATGGATCTGCATCTAGGGGTCTAACTTCTCATTTTCTTTACTCTGTCAACTAAACAACATTTGCTCATTGTAAAATCACCTGGTTCATTGCAAAATCACTTTTGGATATTTGTGAACTTAGCACCTGGGAGATGAGAGAGGATGTAAAAAGGTGTTAACTTATTTTTTGTGGATGTGTGTGGCTTATTTTATAGTAGAGACTTAATTATGCACACCTTTCATTAATTTTCATTCTCCACAAATCATGAATCATCTGTGTCATACGGTATTGCTTCTTTCCCACTTTTGGGTTACTAACCCAAAATTGCTGTAAAAGGCTTCCAAAACCAAAAATCTGCCCAGTTTTACTGTTGAGGGTAACATAAGCTGATACACTTGCATTTGATCAGAATAACAAAGCTAAAGATTTCAGAATCAGAAAACATTTACCCTTTACAGCATTGTCACTGACTTTACAAGTCACTACTCTTTTTATACCAAAGCCAGATACTTTAGGTATTATCATAAGGAGTCACAGCATATAGCTGCTGCCAGCTGAAGAGTTACCACAAACTTCTCATGAGGTATACATGCAGTTTGCATAAACACTATCGTATTCTATAGCACTTTCAATACAGGTAGTAAAATAGAATCATGGCTGAAACAAGTGAGTGTATTCACGTGCAAAAAATTTTTTTTAACAAAATTTGGGAACCCAGCATATCCTTTGCTATTGTAATGCAAGCAATGCTTTCCATTCTGCAGTCATCTGAACCATCCTGTAGTACTTTTCTGTAAGGATATGAACTAAACTGGTATTAAAAGTAAAATTAGAGACTGCTTACTTACAGATATTATTTAACTAAGGCACTAAAAGGTTTAGAACTGGACTAATCCTTTAGTTTCCAGTAAACACAGCATTTCTGAATGCAGACTGTCAACAGACAGACATACATCCAGAATCACGTCCAATTAACAATATTTAGTTATGGCTTATGCACAAAGTTTTTTGAGTATGGCATGATTCAAAATGTCCTAGTTAGTGAGAATTTACATTTGCTTCAGAAGGGTTACAAAAGCTCATTAACAATGCAAGGGGCTTGATTTTTTTCCGTTATTAATTAAGCTCTACAATACATAGAGGGGAAAAAAAAAAAAATCTTTCACGAAACAGCCAGTATAACTCATTTGTATATCAGCATCCTCAAGGATCTTCTTCCACCTATAAGAAGTAAGAATAAGAGTGAGACTGAACGCAGAAGTATTGACTGCACTGAAATCCATGTGGAACTTTTGAAGGCTTAGTTTTGTGTGGGCAACAGAACACAACTTCTCTATACTTCAATATCATAATGACACATTCAAAAGTAATTTTGTTTTGAAAATAATAAGCAATATCGCTGCAATCCCACTAATACAGCTTTACTAATGCTTAATAGTCCCACTATTTTCAACTATTAGGTCAAAACATCATCTGTCTTGCAATTAATTCAAACAGAAGACAGTGACTGTGCCCACCCTGTAGGATTCCTTCTTCCCAAGAAATGGTATTTAAGCTGAGGTACAAAGTGCAGTTAACCATAGACAGTTCTATAGATGCTATACTTGGTATTATTAAGTAGGTGGAACCCCCATTCAAACATATGATTTCAGACACTGTATTCAGTAGGCTGCTCAGGGAAAAGACAGACGTGTATAAAAAAAGAGACAGAGACAGGTGATATATACTGTTAACAATAAGGAGAATAGGTACAGATTCCAAATATAATGAGAGTTAAGCATACAAAACTTAAGTACTTACTAAGGCTTGACGCTGTAATATTCTTCTGGCGTCACAATTTTCAATCCACCAAAGTAGTCCAGGACCCAAATATTGGTGATGTTGAATTTGGCAAAGAACCAATTATGATCCTTAGGCCAACTTTCCATTTCAGGGTGGCGACTGAATAATGCTTTTTTTGCTATGCCTGCTTCTGAATCATTCACCTAAAAAACCCCAGCAAAATATTACAATAAGATAAAGTCATGTGAAGATAAATTTTAGTTAAAAAAAACCACCAAAACCCCCAAAACCCCCACCAAAAACCCTAGTGCTGACTGCAATGTGCTCTTTTCAGTTTAGCCATGTCTTGTCTAAAGGACTCATGACTGTGGCAAAGTCCACTAATCTTCAGTGTGGTATACAACTGCACATGAGACAGACAAAAACTTCAGGGTAGTTGAGTTTTGTATTAAATCAAAATGGTGCTTTTAAGTTAAGCATGAGCAAGAAAGTACTTCACCAGCGTAAGAATAAATCTTTCAACAAATCACAAACCAGAGAAGTATGGATTCTTGCTGGATTATTACGATACAACGTTTCAGGCGTAATTTTATGTTCTCTGCACCTGCTCACTAAAACAGACACAAACAGTTCCAGCTGTGTTCAGATGTGTGCAAACACACACATGCATGCAGGATGATGGAGTCTACAGAGAACGGAAGCTGAAATGTGTGACAGCACTTAATATACAACATGCAAATGTTTAAAGGGTTAAATCAACAAGTTACAGCTCTGGGTATGGTACAAGAGGAACTAATTAAAATAATTCCACTATTGATGAGGAACTCCTGAAAGCAATTAAAGGATTACTAGAGTGTAACGTACAAATATCTGAGATATGAAAACACCAAGTAAGAATCTAGATTATCATAAGACAGTGTAATGATGATTAGTCCTCCTCCACAATCATTATCATCAATAATGGGATTAAGAACTTCAGTGAATAAAACATGCAGTTATAAATTCCTTCCATGTGGCACAAAGTACTGGTGCACAAAAGAACAGTGTCCTGGCAGCAATGTCCCCACATAACACACTTTTTCTGTCTCTAATATATGCAACTTTATAGCTCAGGTTAATATTTACTTCAAAAAAGTAACACTGCAAGAAACAAAGAATTTAACCAAGCACAAGAACTGGAAAAATCTTCCAATTCAGAAGAGAATTGTCTTAGACTTGTTAGTTTCAAGACAGGTCTAGAGGAATGAGGGACACTTCCTTCATTCCAATATTGTTCTCCCAAGTTCCTTGCTAAAGACATGCCAACAGAGCTCCTGCAAATATCAAGTGGTAACTTCATTCTCCTCACCCATGAGTTAGCTTTCCTGGTATCATGGCATCTCTCCACATACTTTCTAACCTTCTTCTTCACCATCCACTAAACAATACTATTTGGTGCTTTCCATCTTGTCCAGTGTCAGCTTTCAGCTGCTTACCTTTACGATACTTCCACTGAAGATTATGTGGGCACAGAGAGGGTTTTGGGGATCGTAGTTGTGCTTCTTGCAGTAAGCAGTCTGTGCCAAAGACACAGTTAAGGAGGCATTTGAATTGACCTGAAATACAAAAAGCAAGATAAGAGGTTTGTGTACTTTTGCGAGAAAAATGTCATAACAACCTTAGTTTTGGCTCTTGGTACTTTACTCAGCTCAGTATTACTGGTAAAAAAGAACAAAACTGTCATCATCTTTTCCTAACTGTATCTGAAAGGCTACCTCGATGAGCTCTGAATCTGGAAGAAAGCCTAGTTTAGAAGTGTGCTTAAGTTTGTTAGCATAAAGTACAACTCTCAGAAAACAGCACTCCTTAAAACTCTGAATTCAGTATACAGTTTACCTATATTCACATTCAGATTATGATATATTCCAATTTACATACATAGAGAACAATACAGAAGACAAGGATGCACAGTGAACTCCTTTAATTCTGGTGGAAGGCCAAAGGGTTACTGAAAAGGTAACCCATGGAGTTTCACAAGTGTTGATAAAAATAATTAAAACAAAACCAAACACCCACTCCTGCCCCCATCAAACTAAGCCTCCTGGCTGCCCACAAATTGGTCAGCTCTTTCAAAGTTTAAAGTGAGTTTTAAAAATTAGGTTTAAAAAATCCTGAGTATCTAAAAAAGAAACCTCTCTTGAAGAATTAAAGAACGTGTCTCCAACTGCTTTTCTAAAACTAATTTGGTGAATGTAAGTTGAAAAGTATTTGTGCAAACCAGGACTGCCTAGTGCTGAAAGTCACACGCTAAAATCCATTATCTCGCAGCAAAGAAAGTCCATGTGCTTTGAGAAATTCAATCAGAAGAGCTCCTCTCAAAAATAAATCCCCCAAAGTCACTTCAACACTACACAGAGTGTCAAGGAACTGCTGAAACAGGAGCAACCACCTGACAGATAGGAAGTTGCTTAACTACCAAAAAAAAAGCTGACTCATGATTATTCAGCACTATCTCTTATCAGGTGTCTCTCTTGCACGTGACTATTAGTCAAATGTTTAGGCCCCATAACAACAGAACACAGATCTGTTAAGGAGCCTTCTGAAGGAAAATGTTCATTAGCAGTTTATACCATGATTGTTATGTTATTCTGGGGGAAAAAAAAAAAGAAGAAAAGGCTGTGGCCAGGGTGGACGAGATGCCATGGAAGATAAATTAGGCCTTCTACAGCACTGAGGTACATAACTACACTGTTTTGACACAACAAACGAAAACAAAGAGAAAGGGTTTATGGTAAAACAAAGTCTGAAAAGATTTCCATTATTTAAGATTTGGGCTTAGAGCTACTAGAACAGAAAAGCTGTCTGATGATGGAGGCGTATGACTGCTGTTTCCCTGACCTTTTAGCCAGCTCTCTCTTGGCCACAGCCAAGAAGATCCCAGACAAGGCCAATCACACACACGTGGAGCCTTGCCTTGGGCACTGGGGCCTTTACCATAAGCTCCAGAGATTTTAATTACTATTCCTCCACCAGCCTGCGTGGGAATCCTCTTCGCTCAAGGTCCACACTGCCGATTTTCAGTCCTTTCGAGATTTTGGGGGTGGGTTTATTTTGGTGACGTTCTCCCTGCGGGCTGAGGGGGCCAAACCCCGCGCTGCCCACCCTCTCACCTTCAGGTCCTGCACGGAGATCTCCATGTCGGTCAGGTACAGGTAGGGGACGCCGCTGCCGCCGGAAGGCCCTGGGGGCCCGTCGCTGAGGGAGAAGATATTGGCGAAGGGGCGGCCGCGCAGCCCCTCCTGCGCGGAGAGGGTGGCCAGCGCACCCCAGTCGCAGTTGTGAAGAACGAAGCGCGCCATGCGCGCCGCCTCCTCTGGCGGCGGCGGG